GAGAATTTCCAGGAGAACCATGTGAGAAAGCAAATAAAGCCCACAAGGCACCATCATGTGCTATTTTTCTGTGTTAAGAGCCCTACAGATAACTCTTGCATAGAAAGTGATGCCAGAAGGAACAATAAAAATCTCTGTATATCAAAGTCACCAGTCTTCACACAGTACCTCTAAACTCAGCCCAGCAACGTGTTTGACAACCTATCTTTCAGAAAGTTGTCAGTCTGGATGTGAAAACATGAGAAACTTAAGAATCCTCACTTCCCTTATTTTTTACTGCAAATTTTTACTGCAAGAGGTGTGTGTACTAAACATTATCTGGGGTTTTGGCAGAGGGAGCGCCTTGGAGTCTCCAGGTAAGTGCAACAAAATGAACACAGCACAAAAGTGGAGGAATCTGCCTTCTGAGAAAATTCCTGAAGATCAAGTATCTCATCAAGGTGGATGTGCCACCTTGCTCACTTTATGTCGCTACATCTGTCCTGTGAGCTATCAAAGCTTAGTCTGCCTATCTCTGGTAAACAGGTATTACAGTCTGACAACCCAGCCCGGTAATTTCTCTGTCAAGGGGAGGGACATAATTTTGTTCCCCATTAAAGAAGTGCCCCCAATTTCTATAATGGGAACTACGGCTGGCAACTTCTGCTTCCCATGAGGGGGATGAAAAGGTCATACGTGCAGGAGACACCCTTTTTGGTTTCCCACGACAAAACGAGCTAAGAATAAGCACCTACCTATTGACCTTCCCTTCCAGTAAATAAACTTCATTCCTTAACCCTTACGATTATCACCGTAAACACACATTTGTATTGTCGCTATAGCATCCGACACCAGAAACAAAACCACTTCACCCTCCCTCTTCCACTGCGCAAGGGAGAAGGAGGCAACCGGCACCGCACAAACGCCAAACCGCAGGCTCGCACACCGCGTCCCGACCCCGTTCGGTCGTGCCCTCAGGACCAGGCGCGACAGTTCCCAAAGGCTGGGGCAGCCAGCCCGGACAGCCGAGGGCACGGCGATGCCGCCCAGGGGGCTGAGGCATCCGAAGGGGGGCACAGGGGAGAGCACAGGGCAGGTCCCCCCCGCGGGGTCCCCCCGAGGTCGGGAGAGAGGGGCGGTCGCGCTGCCGGATCCGGGCTCACCTTGTGCTCCAGGACGCTGATGTATCCCTCCAGGAGCCCGGCCCCGACGGGCAGGGCCGGGTGGCGCTGGCCGCGTTCGGGCGGGCGGCTGGGCACCGCCGCCACCTGCTGCTGCTGCTGCTGCTGCCGCTGCCGCCGAGGCTCCGGGTGGCCCCCGCCGATGCCGCCGATGCCGCCGTACATGAGCAACAAGCTGGTGCACATGGTGGTGAGCGCCAGGCAGACGGCCAGCCCGTGGCGCTGCGAGGGGCAGAGACACGGCCGGCTCAGCGGGGCTCCCCACGCCGCGGGGCCCGGCGGGCATCGCCGCTCCCCCCCCCGGCCAAGTTTCACCCGCCAGGGACCCCCGGCAAAAGTGCGGCAGAACGGGGGAACCCCCTCGCTCGCCAGCCCGCTCCCCTGGCTGCCACCCTCTCCACCAGCCCTGCTTCCTCGCCTCCCCTCCCCTCCCCTGCCCTCCCCTCAGAGCGCCCGGCTCCCCCGCGCCTCAGCCCCGAGCCGCCGTCCCCGCTCTGGGCATCTCAATTCGTGCGTTTTGAAGGAGCGCTGGGGACTGTAGCGCTCCCTCCCACCACCGCCCGGGTACCTCCAGCATCGTCCTTTGAGCAGGTCGGTTTTCTGCACTCTCCTTAAAACGCGCACACACACACACACATACACACACAGAACCCCCAAACCACGAGCAACACGAATAAAAGAAAGCAGGCGGAAAGTTCTTGGCCGCCGCCGCCGCCGCCGAGGTTTTGGTGGCCTCGGCGCGATCCCGAAGAGCCGGGGAAGGATGGAGGGTGTGCAGGGTGCCCGGGGCAGCCCCGCGCCTCTCTCCTCCCCTCCCCTATCCCTCCCCATCCCCGGGATGAGCAGTGCCAACAATGCACTTACCATCAGGGTCTTCATTTTGTGCGCCTCCCGGCCGCCAGTCCTCCCGCTCCCCGCTAGGCTCGGCATGGCGGGGAAGCCGCAGACATGGCTCGGCCGGGGAAGCGCCGCCGTGGCGGGGATTAGGGGGGAATTACAACCCGGCCGGACCCTCGGAGCCTGCCAGAGCCGGGTCCTCGGCTGCCCCGCCTGCCTCCGCCTCCTCCCCCGCCTCCTGCTGCCGGCGCAGCGGCGACTTCAGGGCAGGTGGAACTTAAAACTTCTGCCTCCCGCTCCGACGCGGGCAGCCAGGGCTCCCTCCTTCCCTCCCTCCCTCCTTCACCCTGCCCAGGCCTCTGCCCTGCTCATCGCACCGGGGCACGACCCCCCCCACAACGTTACGTTATTTGTATTTTTTTTTTTCCCCCAGCGGGAAATTTCCCGTTTTTCCCACCGCTAGATGGGTTTCCTGGGGGGGCTGGCAGCGTTCAGGCAAAATACTTTAAATTCGCGTTAGTAAAAGAAAAAAAAAAAAAGATAAAAAATCGACGCCCTCAACTCCTCGCGCGGCGCTGAGAACACCCTCTCCACAGAACCTTTCCCCAGCCCTAACAACCGGCTTCAAACCCTTTTTGACAGAAGCTTTCTTCCTTTTCTAAAGCAAATCCCCCAGACTTGTTTCCCCGTGCCATCTCTGGTTTCTGAAGGCGGACATTTTCCCAGTCTCACAAGCAGCCTTCTGAAGTTCTTTATTGTTTATTTGTTTGTGTTTATGGTGTTCAGCTCAGTTGTGAAAACTTTGTTGGTAGACCTCATATTACCTAGACTTTTTGCTCTGGGAATCCCACATTTATAAATGCATCCCTTCTAAACAAGCCATTTTAAGGTTGATCTCTTAGGAAGTTATTAGACTGACAGCGTTTTTGAAAAAAAATCTACCTCCTAATCATGAAGCTATTTCACTTGAAGCTACTCATGGAAATAATAGCTCTAATATATGGCTTCACATCTAACCCACAGCTATATAGTATTAAAAATTACATTAAGGAGAAAACTATCAGCAGGGTAACTCAACCATGGTCACAACAGCAGCCTTCTCAAGGCTGGAATTGTCATGGAAATCCATTTTTTATCTTTACTAATTCATTGGAGGACTAACGGTGAAACAAATGCCACCTCTAGCACGGGCACAGCACGCAGCATTTAGCGCCTTTTAAGAAAGTAAAAAGAAACAAGAATGTATGGTACGTCAGCGGATAGCGCAGTAAACACCCTTTATCATTTCACAGAAGAATGCCATATTGCGCACATGCTTGCTATTTATTCAGTTTGTGAGTTTGGTTTCAATAGTACCAGTTGTTAAGACAAACGGAGCAATATAAGAAGAATCTTATCGGGTCTTGGCGATTCTTTATTATGTGGTTGCACTTGACACTCAAATTAGTGAAACAAAGGGCCAACTTGATGAATCATTGAAAGGAAATTATCTGTGGCTCTCCAAGGCTTCCTGCAAGAGACTACAAAAGGCAGCTCATGCATTTTACAGTGCTGTTTCTCAAATACCAGCGAGCAGGTTGCTGGTGACTGACCTTTCTGAGCCTTTCTGATATATTTTGCCATGCCGAAGTGAAGCGTCGTTTTTATGATTTAGGCTCGTGGCTGTGTGTTAGACATCTGTTACACAGTATGTCTGACCAAATTCATTAAACTTATGGGTTTTGGTAGAATAGGCTGATTTAAAAATCTACTGATAAAGGAGACAAACTAAATTTTCTAATTTAATGCTTGACTTGAATAATGTCCAGCTTTCTGCTCGTCAAATATTTAATTAGATTGCCATGTTGGTCATAGACCGTATTCTTGGCAGTCAAATGCTCACTGAAACAAATACAGTAGTGTAATGTAAATCCTACGGAGGTTTTTGTGTAAGCATGGGAACTTTAGAAACTGTCTGGAAAACAGCCCAGCTATTTAATTTAATTTAAAATTCCTATGAACTAATAGTTCTAGCTATCTGGAGGTTTGGGTTTTTTTTAACACTATTGGAGTCTGTACACATGTAGATATGAATCTGTATACCCAATAGTTAGATGAGCAAGGAGAAGAGCCCAGGCTGAACTTACAAGCATTTAATCAACTTGGAAATGAGTCAATACTGAAAACTTCTTAAAGTCCATCTGACTTGCTGCTTCAGCCAATTTATTTTCTATATGCAAGGGATACTGAACATGCATTTCTGTTGCTCCTTAGAGCTGGGGTAAAGACAGATTAAAAAATGAACAGCTGCTTTCCCTAGCACAGAAGAAAAAATGGCAGAGCGATAGCGAAGTCTGACTGAGGAGAGCTTTTCATCTGCATGGAAGAGATTGGGTTGTCTCCTCTTCCAATTTACCCTTCTCATTTTCACCTTTCTGGTAGCTACAGGCTGACAGAATAGTCATATGGAATAAAAATCTGCTGGCGGCAGCTGCAGGAGGACCTAAGATGCTAATGATTACATAAAAATCCATGTAGAGCGAGAAATCCATGTAAGAAGTAGTGGTGCAGATAGAGACAAACCTCTTGAAAACTGACAATGGACTTGGAGCAGCAGAGCCCTTGCACTGATGCCTAAATAAAACTGCTTAAACAGCAACTTCCCCTGAGCTGTCTGGATGAATGAAATAAGTACCTTTTTATAATGCATTTTAGCCCAGATTGTCTTTCAGAGATTCCCTTAGGGAGATGTAAAATAACCCTTTCAAACTGGGGCCGATTCCTCATGAAGTTCACGTAGAGACGACGTAGCATAATTTACACTCCAATATAATGAACAATTATAAACCTGCTTCCCACCTTGTGGTTGGCCTGGACCGAGTACTGGAGTGGAGGATGCCACTGCACCTCAGCAACTGGTAGCCAAAACTATTCGGTGTGGGTTGGGATGAGGGCAGTGGCTGGTGTGTTCATGATCCAGAGGTGGTTTGCCAGGACATTTTCCCTGCGTGGCTCCAGCAAACCCTGCCCTGAACCTTGCTGTCCCTCTCTCCTTCCCACCGTAAAGGGAGGGTGTTTGCACCCGCAGTCAGTACACAGAATGCCTCCAAACTGCAAGCTGCAGCTGCCCTTCAGCCCTGTCACCTCCTCAGAACGAAAGCCCAGACAGTCTTAAATGTTTAATTATTTGGTGACTCATTGATGGCAGTGTGGCTCCTTTGCTGAAAATAAATAAATAAATAAATAATGTTTTAGAAACTGATTTAGATCTGTGCCTAGTTTTAAAGAGAGTGAGGAAAAGGAAGTTTTTGTTTACCCTTCACAAAAGAGTGAGGAAAAAGAAGGGATCTGGTGTGATATAAGTAGTTAAACTCCAGGTGAGTTCTGTGTGTCACTCTGCAGGAGGGCTGAAAGCACTTAAATACATTCCCCATCCCGCTATGTGTATGTGTTTTTCAGAAAAATATTGATGATAGAAGTGCTTAAAATAGAATGCAGGGGAGAGGTTAATTGTCTCAGGACCACTTTGATATCCTTATGCCTTTGAAATGAAGAATCTGAGTTCCTAAGATCCTACAGATGGCTAAACGTGAGAAAATATTTGTTAAAAATATAAAGTGAATCTCAAAGTGACGCCTGTTAAAGTTGCATCATTTTGTCACTACCATTATATCCCGAGGTCTGGGAAGCCCTGGATCTGCCTCCTCCAGATTGGGGCCTCATGGCCCTGCTGAAATCACCTTCTACAGCCATTTTATCCCTCCTTGCTCGCTGGGGCCAGGAGCTCGCTAGGAGGTATAAAGCTCTCCCTTCTGCAGCCTCGTGAGGTCTGAGCTTAAACCATGATCACTAGTGTAGAACAGAATATTGCTTGTCCTGGGCCTGCAGCCAGTGACATTTGTGCGGATGGCTGGGAGTGCCGCGTTTCAGAGGGGACAAAGTAAGCGGTTTTTGCCTGACTCTCTAGAAAAATGAGACTGAAGGTGCTGAGGAGGTTGGAATACGATGGAGGTTTGTGTGGATTAACGGACAGCAGGGCAGTCCAAGATATATAGGGAATGAAATATATCACACTGGTATCGCCTCCCCGTGTTGTTTTATTATTGATGTATATATGAAATTTTAACCTCCTCTTCCCGAGAGAAAGGGCTGAGTTTTTTTTGCCTTGCAAACACAACCAATGGAAAACACTCAGCAGCCACAAAGTAATGAGCCTACACTATGGATTTTTCAAACTGCCCAGTGATTCATGAAATGCTTTTCAAAACTGGAAATATGCATTGAGGATTGGTCAGAAAAGGTAGAAACGATATTATAGATCAGTCAATACTGTCCCTCCTTTATGAAAGCAGGCTGCCTTTGAACTTCTGACAGAAGCAAACAGTGATAGATGCATAAAGAAATGAAATATTGCATGGAAATAGAAGTGCAAATGAAAACAGAAGGGGGAAATAGTGAGATAAGATCTGCTGAATCTGCTGCTTTTTTTCTTCCTTATTTCTTAGTTTTCTCCCCAATCTAGGAAGCATAAATATAGGTATTGAGTGTTTCAGAAGCAATGTCTAGCTCAACTGAAAGGACACTTGTGCTTTAAAACCACACTTGAAACCCTGTGCTTCATTCTAATCACTTTTTTGGAGGGGAAGTTAAATATGACATATCCTGGAATATACAGTTTACTCAAAATTCCACTTCTAAAGTCAGAAACTTTGAAAATTAAGAAATTGGCACAGGAGGCTGCAGATGGAGGGTACCCAGTGGAAGCCACAGGATGACCAGAACCTGTTCTTCGTGGCCCTTTGTTTCACCATTCACTACCAAAACAAGAGAAGGAAGACATACACCCTGTCTATAAACAGAGCACAGATTTAACATATGGACTAAAGCAACTGAGAACATAATTACTGCAATTTGGTAAGGGATTGGATACATTTGAATATTCTGGGCATGTCTTTGCTGTAATTTAAGAGATCTCAACAGGATCCTGGATGCCTCAGTTTTCAGTCTCTATGCTTGTTCCTTTGCAGGGAAAGACTACACCAACAGGAAGTCAAACTGTTAAATGGAACAGGATTTCTAAACTTTAAAAAAAAAAAAAATTATCAAGCAGATAGAAGACATGAAGCATTAGAGCAAAAAAAAAGGAAGCAAAGAAGGATAAGTGCTCATTATGGATTGGTTTGCAGTTTTTATGTATTATTAGAGAGTCGATAGAAAACTCTCCTGCTATTACTAACACAAACAAAAACATCACTTATGATGACAGGCTGAATAACAACTGTGGCAACAAGGGGATCCATTAGCATCAAACTGAAA